TTCTTTTTCTATTCTATTCCAAATTGATCTGTACAAGTATTTGTCAGATATTTACAGTATTTGGAATGATGATAGAAGAAAAGGAAAAAAGATTGTTATAACTTTCTTTCGTTTGTTTTCTTCTTGGTTTTTTTTCTTTTTCTGTGAAAGTAAAAACAGCAACAACACAAAGATGTTTGATAGATTAACACGCATTTTCTTCGTCCAATTTTATCTGATATTAATATATATCTTTCAAGTTTTGAACTACTATTGAAGCTTATAGGTTTTTTAGATTTATTCGATGAACCTAAAGAACAGGGTTTTATCTCTCGATTGCATATATTTAATCTATTGTCTTGCTTTTCTAATATTTCATTATGGTTTCAATAGATTAAATGTTGCAGTTTTCGCTAAAATGTAATCACGTTTTCATAGTTTGTCTACTCAAACTATCAGCTCTTTGTGTCGCGTGTTTACTTGCCAAACTAGAAATAGTAAAAATTATGTGCTTTGGTTTCACTCAAAATTGATCATACATCACATGAAAAAATATTAGGACATGTTAAGAAGATTAAAAATGTCTTATGGTATCCTTTTAACCGAAAAGTTACGTTTTTTTATTTGCATGTGGTATATGATTAATTTTGAATATCACTATATAATACACACGATTCCATTATTTTCTCTCATCACTTTTCTATTTACAAAAAAAAAAATGCAAAAAAACAAGTTATTCTATTAAACGATAATAAAGAAGAGCCCCTGGATATCCAAGCCATAATGCTAACGTTCCATTATCCATTGAACAAGCATTAATTGGTTGTTCCGGTAACATTTTAACAAATTCTCGTTTTCGTTTTCCAATTCCAACAATTTTATTTTCAATTGGATCAAATATAAGCCATGTTTTCCATAAATACATAATTGAACTTACACCACGTATATCATAAACATTCGATCGTGTTAAATTTAATTGATGTAAACCTAATAATGTTTCAGCATCATGAAGTGTCATAATAAGATTTGTTAATACAATAGCTACACGTTCATCGGATAAACCCATAGCACAAACACGTGTATTATTATTAACACTACCACCTGAACAATCAATTGATCTAATATGTTTTCTCGTATTATGATCAATACGTGTTAACATACATGAATATTGTCGATTACTAATATAACAATAATAAATACCTAATGAATTTGATTTAGTAAAACGTGTTTGAGACCATATAGCTGGTTGTGATTGATAACGAGATGATGATGGTAATAATAATGATGAATTTATTTGTTTTGAATAATAACTTTGATGTTTTATTGATAATGGACGACCACGAAGTTTAATTGAATCAATAATTGATATAAAATCATATATAAATAAACGATTATCTTCTAATGTTGTAACAAGAAGTTTATATAAAAATGTACACCAAAAACATTCAAGAATAGTTGATGTTGATTCTTCTGATTGTTGCCATGGATAAACACTAATCGAATTTTGATTATTTATTATCATTAAATGACGTGGCATAGCAAGAATAATATCATCCAAATGACTTGTCATAGAAAATGGTTGACAAAAACTAACTATTGGTAATGTAGATGATATTTTTTGATCAAGTAAATTTTTAACTAAAGGTGTTGTTAATTTTTTTGATTCTAATATAAAACCTATTTTACGAGTTGTAGGTGTTGTTAATAATTCAATATGAACTGTGTTTGTTTGAATTGATTCATCACGAACAGCAATTTGATCAGTTTGAGTATTAACATCTACTTTTGAATGATGTAGAATTTTATGTTGATCTTTTTCTTTTTCTTTTTCTTCTTGTATTTCATCTTGATCTTCGTCTGATTCAAATGAATCTGATGTCGATGAACTACTAGATGAAGATTTTCCTTTATGAACTTCTTCATTAATTTTTTCTGGTTGTGAAACTATTGGGTGCTGCTGTGATGGTGGTGATAGACGCGATGATGATGAACTTGATGATAGTGAATGTGATGATGATGACGATGAACGTCGCAATGGTGAATGTGGTGATGATGGACGTGGTATGACAGTTGGATCTTCCGTTATTTCAGTAGTTTCAACATCATTTGATAGACGTTTTCTTGTAGTAGGAACTGGAGGTGTTCGATCTTGTTCTGAGTGTTCATTAGCACTGGCTACATCATCATCAAAAAATGGATCTCTTTTACTACTCATTGTGTTCAATATAATAAGACCATATGTTACTTTTACTATTCTTATGCTTCTCGACAGACGATATGCATTGCGTTGTTAAGGACAAATTTATAACGGCAGCTATTCTTTTTCTTCTTCCTCACGACAGAATAAGTGAGACGACGAACAAAGAGAAAAAAAATTCTTGAGAAGAGCAAACAATATCAAAAATCGTCATGTGCGTTAGAGAAAAGACAGAAGAACAAGAAAAAAAAAGAAAGAAAGACGCTCAGAATTCTAGATGAATTGTAAAAACATCAAAGATGAAAAAATATATTTGCCACTTAACATATAAGAAAGATTTCCTTTTTCGGTTGTGCTTCAGATTTTTTTTTGAATATTTTAAATCGAACTTTTAACATTCTCTTTTCTTGTGAGATTTGATCATTTGTATTCATTTTATACTTGTTAATTATAAATAAATGTTTATTATTTAGAAAGAAATTTCGACAGCGACTCCTAAAATTATTCGAACAGGTTTCTTTCTGAACTTTTTCCACTGTCATTCAACGCTAATAAGAATTTATAATAGTAATTTATGTAAAGAATTTAATTTCGAACAGGGAATTTTTTAAGATGAAAGAGATAACTAGTTTTCCAAGAATAGAATCTATGAAATACCCAAACACGAATTTTTCATCTCCTAAAATTCTGTTTGAATTACTCTGAATTATAGAGCAAATAATTCTTTACAAAATAAAATGTGTTTCAGCTCTTCACAACGTTTTTTGACCGAGATATATCAATTTAACGGAACGCACAAGAATCATTTTGTCTACTATTTCGTATAGAAACACCATTTTTGTGCTTTCTGTAAGATTGATACATCTCGGTTAACAAAATATCGTAGAGATCTGAAAGACATTTGATTTCATTTATTTTACTTGCTGTAATATTTTAAAGACTAGAGTTGAATACATAAGTAAAGTTTGTTTTATCCTCTTTGGAGACCGAGTCCGTATATACCTCGTTTCGAAATTTGACAAACAATGATAGGTTTTGCACTTTTACTAAACAAAAACCATGAGCTGCGCATGGCGTGCACCGAACCCGATTATGAAGTTTTGATGTATTTGCAGCAGACATATGTCAGATACTTACAAGTCAAAATTTTAATACTATTTCTTTTTATTTTTCGTGATGGTTGGATAGAGCTCGTTGAGTTACACAAGAAAGGTGTGCTTCAAACTTAAAAAGAATTTTAAAAAAATAATGAAAAAGGTCTAAGATACCATTATCTTCAAATACATGAAAAATAGTTAAAAAAATCCGGACTTTTATAAAATCTTTTAAAGTTGTTTTTAAAGTTTGAAACATACTTTTTTCTTACGCCACTCCACAAGTTCTGTCCAACCATCACGAGAAAAGAAAAATAAGTAGTATGAAAACTTTGATTTGTGGACATCTTACATATGTATATTTCAAATATCTAAACAATCTCTGATCTCATCTGGTGCATAGCATACGCAATTCGTATTTAAAATTTGTAGTTTGCCAGTGAGAGATCAATACATGATAAGGTTTATTTTACTAAGTTTAACTCCTTATATTCAAGTTCATAGTGTAATTCGAATAAAACGTACTTCGATATTGTTGACCTCATAAGACAACAAGATTCTTTTCAATCGTACATCAAGCCGTTTCATATCGATCCTCACAACAAAATATCTGTTTTTCTTCTATTATTCGATACTGAATGCGTGTGTTTCTAAAAAAAAATACATGACCGAGTTTTCTCAAGAACTCTTGAGCACTTCAGTGTATTTATTTCTTCTTTCGACTACTGAGCGAAAATGTTCAAGGTGATAGCAATTACCAATATAATTGATCAAGTGCAAAAAAACAATTAAATCACAATGATTGACTAAACACAAGAATAAATATTTACACAATATCTAGTTTTGAATAGTGATAGTGATTGATCTTTCTAAAGTTACGAGATGAAATGTGAATCGAACGAAAAATAGGAGAAGTGTTTGTCATTGTTCATTGTATATTTCCTTTATAAAGTCAATACCGACAAGAAAGTTAAATTTGTAGATTATCGTTGACAACTTACAGTGTTCCAAAATATACCATAGGTCGTCCTGTATTGGACTTATCAATCAATTAGACACTCTTCATTTCTTTTACTTCAAACAATAAATAGACACAATTCTCAAAAGAATTGTGTTGTATGTGCACATATTAGTCAAAAACCTAAAATTAAGACTGATTCATGTTATATTTATAAAGATTGTAATAGAGATCTTTGTGTTGTTGATTATTTCAAGGAGTTTCATACTTTACTATATTTTTAGTTTTTTTTTTGCATTAACTTCTCTTCTCATATGTTATTAAATTATTGTTTATCATACTTCTTGGATGTATGCTTTGCTTCTCGTGTTACAAAATAAACATCGTGTATCTTTTGCATTAAGTCAGGATGAAAAAAATTATGATTAATACTTTTCTACTCTAATTGATTTTATAGATAAAAATCAAATATTTTTTCTGTAAAAAAAACAAGTTGATCATTAAACGATTCATCTGCAATGTAATTTGAATATATCAATGTCAGAAGACATTCAATTCCAAAAAAAACACGAATTGTGGTAATTACGGTACAGACAAAGTGCGCGAAATCTCTAGGAAAAATGTGATTTGTACTCGACTTAGATCAATGTGACATGCTGACAGATATCTATTAGACCCATTAGATCTAAATCAATATTAACTATTTCTTGATAAACAAAAGACTCTACTCTAATATCTAAGATCTATTTATAAATAACAAAAGAAAAGCATACTATTCAAATGATACAGCTAATTTAATAGGTTCAAAATTATGTGTTACAGGATTCATCGTTGTATAATATGGTAAATCATCTATACCAATTCCATAGACACCAACACGTCCATCACGTAAACGAAATGATCCATTAAATGATAACAGACCAACATCGGTTTGAAGTAATGACCATGGTGAAAATGAATCTTGATGAGCACAGTTTGTATTACTACTTACATAAACCTCATTACTCGTATCAATTGCTAATACATGACAACTAAAACAGGAAAAAAAATGTTCAATTGATTATTTTTCTTAAATAAAAATATTTTGATAACCTTTGAGTTGTACTTATATCATCAGGTGGTTTTGAAGTAACAAAAAGTGGACGTTGAATAAATATTTTATCTGATGGCATAATCATCCAATTACTCCAAATATTATCTTTTTGTTCAATTCGATGAATTTTTTCATCATTAAATACAGCAAAACAATATAATTTCAAAAGAATATTTGTTCCAACCCAACCACAAGAAGGTCCTGTTTTTAAATTTGTATCTGCAAAAAAAAAATAAAAAATAAAAAAAAAATAAATGAATAAAATTTTAAAAACCTGGATGAACATCCATATGAACATCTTGTATTGTTGTTGTTCCATTCATAGCTACAACTGTTAAATGACGATCTATGTCACGATAAAAACAATAAGCTGTACGATTAATTGCTATAAAACATGATCGTTCTCCGTAAGTTTTTCCTTTAAAAATTTCAATATTTTATTTTGCAAATAATTAATTATTAATTCACATACCACCACGTTGATGTACACTTAAGAAATCATTATTTTTTGGATCAATTGTAATAGAAAGTAAATTTGAAACATTACCTTCAATGTAACATACTATTGTATTATCAGCTTGTCTTAATACATTAGGTAAACCAATAACTGATTGATTTATACGTCGATATGATTCAATACCATTTATGTCAATAATAACAATCAGTAATCGATTTGTTTCACTATCAATACCAAAACAATAACGTTTATTTATTGACCAACAACATTCTATACGTTCAATTTCTTGTATTTCCGGTGAATCAAGAACAAAATAATCAAATTCAATTTCATCATCTTGAATTTGTCGAATATTAACATTATGATAAATACCATTATCAATTTCTTTGACTAAACATGATGATATATAGATTTCATCAGTACAATGTACAAAATCTTGAATTTTTAAAGCTCCACAATTACTTATTTTTGACCAATAATATTCACCCATACAACGACAATGTCGTATATTTGCACCTGTTTTAAGATCACATGTAATACCAAGGTCAAGACGACATTCATTATCATACTGACAGACTAAGAAAAGGAAGAACAGCAAAAGTTTTTACTTTTCAATAAAAAAAATGATATCACTTACCTTCATTTATATCTTTTTTTGGTTCTTAAAAAGAAAAAGAAAAATTAAAATAATAAATACAAAAAAAAAGTAAAAATTAAGAATCTAACCACATTGTTGTGTATTTTTATTCCAAAAATAAGTTGTTTCACAAAAACAATGTTTTTGATTTAAATCAAATTCATATTCACAAAATAAATTTTTTGATAATGTGCATTGTTCATGTTCAGTACAATTATCACCATATAGTAAATTTCTATCAAGTATTATTGTAGTTGTACTTGTGGATGTTATTATCGAACTTAATGATGTATTCCAATTAGGTACAAATGATATTTCATTAGTTATATTAAAGTTATATGATGTTGTTGTGCTTTCTATTGTTGAATCTATAGTTGTATTCATCCATGAACAATCATAAATTGGACATTGTTTAATATTTGTGTTGTGAATTAAAAGAGAAGAAAGTAAAGCAATAGCAGCGATAAGACATAATATTAAGAATAAAACCAGAATACGATAATGAAGATTGAAAGATTTCTAGAATTATTTTTAATTAATCTTTTAATTGAATCTTTATGATTATCCTATCTAATTATTTAATATTGAAATTTATACTTGCAATCCTCAGAAATGATAATAAGTTTCGTAACTCAATAAACATTTGTTCTCTAAATTTAATGTTTACTTATTGATTACTTAACTAATCATTTGAAAGGCATTTCAACATGTTGATTTCAGTTTCTGATGAGCATCAAATCCTATCGAATAAATACAGATGAGAAAATTCTAAACTCAATATGAATTATTATTCTTCTATAGAAGTCATCTTTTCCGTTAGTAAAAAGATAATACTTTGACGATTGTTTCTTATAGCATTAACATTTGCAACTACTTTCAAAATAATGAAAAATAATATTTTTTATTTAAAAACCATATTTTGTACGTCCTTATCCAAAGGAAAAGTTTTGCTTGGATTTTAGATGTTATATAAAGAGTTTATTTATTAATCGACTGATCTATGTGATAATATATAAAATCAATACTTTGAAACTGTTTTCAAAAGTTTAAAACTCGAAAATTCATAATGAATGTATCTTCCTCAACAATGTTGACGGACTTCAATAAAAGTAAAAGATTTTTCAAAATCTCTTTTCCGAAGAAAGTTTCACATAATGAAAATTAAGCGCTGAGCAATCGAAAATGCTCTTATGCTAAGTTTACTGCTACTGAAGCACTCACAATCATTCTTCCGATACGTTTTTCTTTTTCTCAAGTAATCGGAACTTCGTTAGGTTTCGAGTGGTTGACATGCGCCCGAAGAATCAGTTGCATTCTTTCGATAGGTTTTCTCTTCTCGAGTACTTGAAACTTTGATGAGTGCCGAAGGGTCGAAACAAATTCGAGGGGTCAAAAATGAGTACCCGATAGGATACAGTTTTCGAATACTTGAAATCCAACGACAATTGAAAAGCTCAAAACTGGAACAGAGTGAACAAAAGAAAAATATTTTATTTGTCTTCTTTCAATTGAATATTGATAATAAATTGTTACCGTTTGTAAATAGGTACGAAATAAATTTGCTTTTGTTTCATAAGAAGGTTCCAATTGTTGTGGTCGAGGGAAAGATTCTTCCGGTTGAATGACATAAACCGGAAAACGTAATCTACAAGAATAATTTCTTATTAATGTCTAAAAAGATATCCGATTTAATTATTCAAACCTTTTTTGTTCTGAATGCACAACCAAATGTAAATGTCGTAAATAAGATGTACTGAAAATATTTCACAATGACATTGAAAACAAAAGGAAACCTAATATAGAAAACTTACGTTCTTTCTCTAAACATATCTATCAACAGATTCTCTTCCAACAAAATTCAATCGATCGAATGAAATATAAACAAAAATGAGAACCATTTGATCAATGTAAAATGACACGTAATTATACATGATTGTCAGACATAATAACATTTATCACTTTTTTTGTAAAGGTTGTCTTTTAATGACATCTATGAAATATATTTGTATCATTGGGCACATTGATTCTCTGTCTGTCTATCTTATACCCGATTAAATATAAGCTATGTTAGTTATGGAATAATATGTGTGACAGGGAATAGATAGAGGATAAATCTGTAGAATATCGAGGTATGTTCGTTCTCTGTTTTTTTCATCATTCTGTAGCGTCTGATATTAATCGAAATTCGTTCGATAATTTTGTTTTTCAATTGTAGTTTCTTTATTTAGAACGTATTATTCATATAATGAGTGCAATCATGTCGTAATTATTCTTAATACAAGCGTAATTTTTAAATTATTAAATATTACAATCTAATTATTTATTTTCATTGAAAAAAAAAAGAATAATACCATTAGTTTATGAATAAAAAATCCATGTTAAATCAAGAACAGATTCATCGATATTTTAATCATTTAAGTGGAGCTAAACGTATTGAATTTTTATATGGTTTATTACATTTATGTCAACCATTAGAATTACGTTATTTGGGTACTTGTTTAGAAGAAATAGCACGTAAAGATTATGAATATTTATATCATGCTGAACAAAAAACAAATCATTTACCAACACAAAATTTAGCGACAACAAATAATGAAACAAATAATCAACCACAAAATGATCTTGGATCTGAAGAAAAATTAGATTTAACTGATCAATTTACACGAGCACATGCTATTGTTGATATTGGTAAGCAAAAAGAAAAAAAAAACAAAAACATAAAAAGATTTAAAAAATATATCAAGTGAGATAAAATGATTGTAACATTAGATTTTTTTCTAAAGGATGCGCTTGATGAAGTAATCTACAATGAATAATTAAAGTAAAAGGTTCTCTCGACTTTTGGTAAAAGACTTCTAATTCCTTACTCATCGGAGTTCATTTTCTTTCTGTATCTTAACAATAATCCTATTTGACATATTTTTAATTCTCTCTAGTGATTATCAAACATAAAGAGAACCACATCGTTTGTACTAAGATATTAACCAACGAGTTTTTTTTTTACAATGTACTTAATTTAGATCATAAACTAGGATTTTCTCAAGCGTCTAGATCATTGTTATAATGAAAAATTAGAGTATCTTATACATCTGTCATTTTAGCTATATATAAACTCATTATTACAAGTTGAGAGAATCTTTTATTTCAACTGTTGTAGAGAATTTCACGATGCACTTTTTAAAAAATTCTACTTTTTATATGATTTGTCTGTGTAGATATATATATATGGAAAATTTAGATTTATCATAAACATTTTTTTCTAATTCCGATATAATGGGACATAGCAATATTTCATACATATTTTATCTTAGTTTTCTAAAAAAAATACATCAGAAGAATCTTATGATATAGTTTTTGAAGAGAACTGAACAGTGAATCTTTTTGAAAAATCCTCAAGGTTCTATAACTTGTTTTTATTAAGATATTTGGAAAATATTCAATGTTGCAATCATTTTGTCTTGCCCGATATAAAAATCAAAACAAAAAAAGCATAGTTCTTTTTGTTTTTCTTAGCTCTTCTTTGGGCAAAAAATCGTCCATGTGCATTACGTTTATTTCGTCGTTTAAAAGCTAGTGAAAGTATTAAATTGATTGATATGCTTCTTGAACGTGATGATTTAGATGAACGAACAATGGATGAAATATTAATTATATTTTGTTTAGCTGCTAATCATCCAGCATTTAGTTTTGATATGCGTACCCAAATGTCACAAACACTTAAAGAACTAGAAAAAAGGCAACGTAAAATGAAATTATTACAACCAGTACAAAGTAATAATAATGATGATGAAATAATTGATCCACTAGATGATACAACTTGTTTACGTCATCATATATTATCATCATCATTATTGAATTCAAGTACATTAAGTGTACACGCATCACGTATGAAAATTAAAATTAATCTTAATGATACTCAATTATTTTGTTTTTATTTTAGCTTTATTAACTCGTTTAGTTGTTGTTAATTATGATACAGAATCAACTCCTTTGAGAATTTTGATAAAAGCTGATTGGTCTGATAATAATTCTACATTGACATGGAAAACTCCGAATGATATTCGATCATTTCATTTACAAGTATATTATCGAATAGAAGAGATTATTATTTATTAGTTTTATAATAACAATTCAGAAACGTTTTCTAAAGAAATAGCGAATCTCTATGGGAAAAAAACAGGATACTATAGAAACTAAGGAAACTTACTTTGTATTTCATAGTCTCTATTTGATTGTCGTTCAGGGTTCTCGTATCCTTTGCCGAGATTTCTGAAGGACAATCCATCAGATGTTTTTGAAATTTTCAAAAGAGATAGATTTTGACGAGTAGAGCAAAAGCTATCATAGACTCAAAGTTCTCAGCTGCTGTCTTCTATAAGATACGGAGATCATAATGGCAAGCAATGTCTTCCCCTAGTTCTCCAAGACACTTTGAAGTAATTATTTTTTTTGTCCTTCACACAAATATTGAAGGTATCCTTAAAAACCCATGTTTTGTTTTTGAAAAGCACTTTCTGTTTATAACAGCTGTCAAAAATCAGCAGAACAATATTTTTTGAAGCATAAAAAAAAAAAAGAATTCCTATTCCAAACAATGTATAGTAAATGTGAAAGAAGTTTCAGCTTACATTTGTTGCTAATTTGATTTCTTCTCGAGTTTTTTTTTAACATTTAAAGATAACTTTAAGATATTAATGTAATCAAAAGATAAGCATTGATCCTTCTTTTGCAAATCTTTTTTTCGAACAAAAATGGATAAAATAAAGTTTCTATCATCTCGAAGAAGCTTAAAAATAAACAGTTTTTTGGCTATGGTCATGCTCTTTCCACAAACCACCTCATGCTTTATCAACTCCCTAGAACCAAAACTCAGAACAATTTATTTTCAGACATAAAACTATACCTGATATTGACATAAAAAGAAAAATGTTTATCAGAAATTCGTCTGAAATTTCTTCATTATTATTTTAGTTATCTAATATTGTTTATCATGATGATGTACGGTTAGAACGTTTAATGAATATCTCTGGTTATTTACGTGATATTGGCTCTCCAAGTGAACCAGATATTGAGTTAATGAAACAGAATATTGCAACATATATGACGTAAGTGTTTTTCTTTTCATGAAAATTCAAGTAATAAAAAGAAAATTGTTATCTTATTAGGCATCTTGTCTATTTCTCTTCATACATTTCTACAATATCAACATTGGCAAAATTTTTTAATTCATCTTTGAAACTTGTCGATTCAAAACAACGTTTATTTAATTCAAGTAATGGTTTTGATGAACCATTATCATCATCCTCATCATTCTCTAATGGAGTGACACCACTTCGTAATGCAGTTTTTTTTTTCTTTTCTTTTTATATAATAATTATTTTGTTTTGATTATTTCAAGAATGTGAATTACCTGTACAACAACCAACTGAATCTGAGAATAAAACACATTGTTCACCTAAACTATTATTAAATAATAATAAATCTAAACAACAAACTGATGTAGCAAAACAAGCACGTTCAATAGTACCAACACATAATGGTACACAAACTGGATTAGAAGTACGATGTGAAGAAACTCAAACTGATCGAATGCCTGGACCAGGTTTTATTCTTGCTGAACATCAAGATTATCTTCGAAGATATTCAATGGATGAAGTAAATTTTTTTCTTTTTGTTTTACATTTTTCTTTCTTATCAAAACAATGTTCTGTTTTCTTTTAGTTAGCAAAATTAACACCAGCTGATCTTATTGCTGATGGACTTGATCAAAGTACAGCTCAATTACTTTGCGGTGCTTTAGATGATTTAAAGTAAAAAACAACTCTAATTTCATCTCTTCGTTTATTTTGCTTCTATTTAGACCAATGAGTGTTCATTTAAGTAGTAGTAGTGCAAAAAATTCTCGATCACCATGTACTTTTGTACAAATGCCTTCATCATCATTGTCTCCACCACCATTATCACAACCACCATCATTACCACCATTGTTAGATGCTGCCCTAATGACTGTTGTACAACAACAACAACAACCATCTCGTACGCCGCCACCTGGTTTTGATCGAAATCAATATGAACCTATTTTAATTAATTTAGCCGGTGCTCATCCATCTCTATCATCAAGTCCAAGTCCAAAATTACCTAAAACAGGAGCAACTACATCAGGAAAGAATAGTATTCCTCCACTTCCACCACCACCACCACCACTGCCATTACCACCACCACCATCAACGTCAAATTGTCCATCACAAACTCAACATCATGTACCACTATTAACTGCACATTCATTTCTATATAATTCAGTTGAACCATACATGTTTCCAATAGCTATTCCGCCGGGTTTTCCATCAACAACACCTGATTTTATGCGATTATTTGCTCCAAATATGGCAGCTGTAGCCACCAATCCAACAAATACTAGTTTTGTACAAACATCAAATACTTCACAAGGATCTGTATCTAATTCTCGTTCCACAACACAATCTAATGGTACGAATACACCACCAGAACAAAATGGACAAAATCATCATCCATCTCCACCACCGCAATCATCATCTCGTCATCAACAACAACAGCAGCAAGCACAGCAACAGCAACAACAGCAATCACATCAATCTCAGCAACATCATCAACAACAATCACATCATCGTCATAGACAATATCATCAATCTGATTCTATACAATTTCAACCACAAAATGGATTTCATGCTCAACAACGGCAAACACAAACATCTTATCCTCAACAACATGTAAAACCAAAAGCATGTTATACTTGTGGTGATCTGGGACATCTTGCATTTGCCTGTCCTGAACAGTATTCATCTGATTCAAATTATCCGCATAATACTAGAGGTAAAAAAAAAACAAAAGATTTATCGCAACAGTTTTATAATAAGAAAAAAATTTTAGATAGTTATAAACTTGATTATCGACCACGACAGAGTACACCAACTAATATTCAACAACAACAACAAAGGCAAATGCGTTCAAATTCAAATTCAAAAACTAAAGTTCGCGATAATAGTTAAACATTTAGATTTCTTTCCTTTTTTTTTCGTTCTTCCTTTACATTTTTTTTCTCTCGTTTATACTCATCAAAACAACGCTACATATCACGACTTTCTTTTTGCTACTATCCCTGTTTGCCTTTACTTCTTTTCTTTTTTTCATATGATAGATTTTCTCATTCTTTTTGTCTTTCGTCTCTTGTTTCATTTCTGTAACAGCGACGTGCGTCTCTTTTTTTACGACATATATTCAACTCGTCCTAACTTCTTTAATATATATATTTGCAAGTATTCTTTATATAAAAAAAGAATGATATTACTCTCAAAAGCATACAGAATATATATCATTGTTTCTCTTTTTTCTATTGATTTATATAATAAGATAGTCGAGAATATATTCTACACAAGTTAAAGTGAAGGCAAAAAGTTTTGAAACCCATTATTTTTGACTTTTTTACCTTAATGGTAATAGCTAGGACAAATTAGAAAAAAGATTTTGAGAAGTTGAAATGGTTTTTCTACTAGAAGAAATATTTGTTGAAATTTCTATTAATAGGTTTAGATAAAAAGATCTCTGAAAACACTGAAACTCGAAAAAAACGCTTCTCTAGATTCCATCAAAAACTTCTTACAAACAAGTTCATCTGAGAGAGAAAACATTTCTGAATAAAATAAGATATCCTCAAACTTTCCAAGGCCCGTTTTCAGCGAATAACAACCATTCTATGATAGGCCGAAAAAGCTGATTTCGGAGAAAGTTAATTTTGATTTAGTGTACTTTACACTTTGAAGCCATTTGCAGAAGGAGTGCGATTCGCTGAAGGTAGGTCATTGATAGTTCGGAGGCATCTTATTTTATTCAGGAATATCTTTTGATAGAATTTTGAAAAATGGTTTTGGAGAGTCTTGTTTTTTCAGAGATCTTTCACTGAAACCTGTTAATGGGAATTAGACAAGTACTTCTCCTTAAAGGATATTGTTCCAGCGAATCAAATTTAGTCTCGAATTTGTTGTAGCAATCATCATAAAGAAAAAATGTCAAAAATTTTCTGTTTTAAACTTTTCTGTCTCCAGTTTATGATTTAATATTTATACTATGGTTTTACAACATCGAAAAATGTTATCTAATCCAGCCTATTCAAGTGTGATATGAGCTCACCTGGTAATGGTTCGAACTTATATTTGAGAATTCAAGGTCAAACTGAACTCATTTCTGTTATGTTTGATGACATAACTGGCAATTGACATATATTTAATATTTTCATGTTCTAGTTTTCCTTTTTTTTTTTTTTTAATTAAACTTATAAGTTTGTAATTTCTTTTATGATATGATAATATATATGTATAAAATATCAAAGAAAAAAAAATTTCAACAATATCTCATCGTATAGAAACTAGTGAATTTTAATTCATACGGACAAAATCAGCATGATGAAATGCTATGGAATTACGTCCTTTTTCTGAAAGTGATAGTGTGGGCCAGAATAAAAGCAAAAAAGAAATCAAAAGCAATCGGATATGCATCATCAACATCGAATTCCACGTCAGTCGATGCATTTTCCATTAGAACACAAAGGGAAAAAAAAACAATTTTTTCGATCTAAGAAAATTTCCACAAAAATGAAAGTTGTAGTTTTGATAAACAAAATACTCCATTTCGTTCCGGATATATGAGTGAACTGCAACATAATTGCACTATTTAAAGAAAAAAAAAATGAGCGAAAACAAATTTTCGATTTGAAAGATGATACATACTGTCTTTTAATATACTATGCAACACCATAAAACGAATAAATTTCTCAATTACACTATTAATTTGCTCGAGAGATATGACAATCGTTCAACATCCATGAAAATACCTTAATATGACTTTTCTACATATACACTGATTAACTGCATAAATCTAAGAAGTTCGAAAAATTCGTCAAAAATACTTCAAATTATAGGTAAACAGAACTTTGTTTACGTGCCAGAGTATACAGTTGAAATTCAAAATTCGATAAATCTCAACTGCATAAAACTAATAATGTGCTTTATTCTATATATTCATGATGTGGCATCATCTGCATACAATAATTTGCATAAGATATAATTTAGAATTAGTTCGCAATAATTTTGATTGGATCTAAAATATAAACTTAACTAATATAGAATATATTTATGTTGACTTCAATTGTAAAGTAAGACTCACGTCATATTCTCGCATGACACATTTCTTATTGAAAACTTCGCGTGACATATTGACTTTATATTTCTTTTCTTTTTCTCATGAATTGGAAATCTTCTGACGCTGATATTTTCAATGATGACTGATCACAATGAATCGATGAAATGATCAGTGTTTCATCTTACAATGCAATCCCATAAGAGTTTTTGATCAGGCAAAATCAAAAAAATCTTGCATGACATTGAGTATGCCAATCAAATTTTCAAGTTTTAGTTTATAGTTTTGATAAACAAGAAACAATATAAAATTTTTTTCTTTTTTAATGAATTTATTTCCCATTTACTGGCTTTTATTCAACGATATGCCGTTCGTTTGTAGATAGATTGTTCAATTCCAGGTTGATTTTTAATCTCACGCGACAAAAAATCAAACAATGGTTGCACATTTGAGTTTCAGAAAAATCGTGTAAACAACGCCATTCAGTCTTATGCTCGAAGAGGGCATATTGTTTTCTCTAATTCTGCAAACTTACAAAATTTACATAGGAAACAAAAAAAAAAAGTCATTTATACGAAAGAAGAAGTCAAGATGTTGAGCTTTTTTTCATATTAGATATTAACGGTGTAATAAAGTTGCAATCCATTCATATGTATACGTCGTCGTTGACTTCACAATTAAGTTCTCTTTAGAATGTAGAAACATAAAATTGTTACGCAATATCCGATAATATAAATGATTTTCTAGCGATGAAAAGTTCAATGTGAATTTAACACAGAATTCCTCCATAATTATTCTACTGCTTCATTACAATTAAAAATGAAGAAAACATTCTACTGTAATTTAGATGCTTTTCTAAGGGCTTTGGATATCAGACGGCAAACAGGTTATAGGTTTAAATGGGTCACTCATATCAATGCCCATACTCAGCACCCTGTTCACTATTCGTCGATTTTTCTCACCTTAATCTATTCAATAAACATTTACTACTTTACATTTTAAAGGTAACTAAATTGCGAAGTCAACACTGACATTTATTTATGAACAAGAACAATATAAAACGTGTAATAGTTTAAAAACATCCTGATTTTCACATAATACAAAAACTAAATCAAACTACGCTCAAAACGAGTGAATATTTGATAGAGCTCGTTAATTTCTGTCTTGAAAGGTCGTTTTTTCTTGCAAAAATTAACAAAATTAGCGAGTTTTATTTCGAAGTTTCATGAAAAATACAGATGATTTCTGAACGTCTTATCCTGCTTCGTAGACATCTAATATTTGTATGAAGTCATATATTGAACGAGCACTTCAAATTCTATCAGTTAACATTGCATTAAAGAACTTTTTTCTACTGATTCATATTTATTCAAAAATGTATTTCAATACCATCCTTTACATAAACTTTCGTGCTAGTCACTTCCAGAAAGACATCGCTTATTGGAAACGTTTCCATTTCATGTACTATCGATCAGGTTCTTGTCAATAGTAGGCTTAACTTTACACTTGAGCTCGAACGTTACCCATGTATGAGGTATTGATGACTGATTCTGACAAAATAAAACTCTGAGTATTTTTACTTATAACAAAAATAAAATTAGCCAACTATGCCCAAACAGTTACATCGATAACATGAATAAATATATGACACCTGCGATAAATCATTAAGACAGTATGCTTTTCATTGATATGCATGACTACCATTCATAATTACGTAAAAACATGTTATCGACATATCATTAGCCAATTATTAATGTTTATGAGAAATATACCTATTCCCCTTATCTATCACAAATACGTAACAATCATTATCCAAAATAATCCAATCGAAACAAACAATGACTCAATCCGATGATGATGCTTTTAGATTATTATCCATTTATTCAAATTTAGATATTTAAACTATCATTCTATTTTCAATACAGTTCAACAAACATCCTCCAAAATAAAAATATAATTTCATAAAAAAGGATGAAAAAAATTTCGTTTATTAATTTTTTTAATATCATATTTTTCATCACAAAAAAAAATAATAATAATAAATTAACCTAGGTAATCATTATGATCTACTCATTTGTTGTTATTTTTTTCATCTCACACATATTACTACAATAATAAACAGAATAAAGGTAAAGGAAAAAAACGAAGAAGTCAGTTAAGAAAAACAAAAAAAAAAAGAATTAACGAGAAGAATAATACAAATAAAACATTTAGGGCAATAGAGCACGAAACACACATCAATAGAGAGAAAAAAATAATAAGAATTCTTTTATATATAAGACATGGCTTTTCGTTTCTTTTTTTTTGATAAAATATATGTACAAACAGACCGAAAAAAAACTTTGATACTAAGAAAAACAAAATCAAAAATTTTCTTTTTTTTATTCAAGATCAGATTCAGCTGATGACGATTCATCATGAATTGATCGTTGCCAAGTTTTAAGACGTTGTTCAAGTATTGTTTGCCATGCATATTGTAAACATTTACTTGGATAACGAATTTTATATGGTAGATTCGGTTTATTTGATAAAAATATTAAGGCATCTTGACCTATTCAAAGATTTAAATTAGAAAAGATTAATAGAAAAAAACAATAATAACAACTACATACGTTCATCACTTGATCGAAAATCAACAATATCACTTAATAAAATCGCATTACAAACTAATTTTAAACGTGTATCGATTGCATTTCGTTGTGTAAATAGTAGCATATCATTTAACAGAACAGTCCACGTCTAAAATAAAGTATAAGATGATTATTGTTTCATGGAGATATTAGAGAAAAACGAAACCAGTAAGTCAGAGTGTGGATGTGGATACGTTTCCTTCATCCACTCCCACACCCTTTTCATTCAATCAGATGGTGAAGATCAGAATGGCTCTCTCTCGCAGTCTTGAATCGCTCTTTCGCAGGGGAATATCCGAATGAAATACGGAATTCCCCAGCTGTTTAATCATTTTTAAGTTAGGACTATGTGGATTATGTAGATTCTAGTGAGTTTTGAATATTCTGAAATGAATTCAGGCTGTTTAACTTATTGCTGCAGAGATATTACATGTTTAGTATTTTGTTAAAGCAATGCTGTGATGCAATAAACTAACTTCAATATGACCTATCGCTGTGCAAAGTTTCGAGTAAAAATTTTGAAAAAATCAGTCATCCTGAGGGGAACCATGCCCTATTGACTTAAAATATATCGTAAAAATGCACTATGTCAGTACCGATAAACTAACAGCCTGAACTCTTTTCAGAGTATTCGTAGCTCATTAGAGTTTGCACGATGCACATATAGACTTTTCATTATTGAGTTGTTGGTTACATCACTAAAACTATGTTAATTATCTGTTTTCTATAAAGACATAGTCAAACTGTTAGTGAATTCATGACTGATATTAATTTAATAAATTAAATTTGTTTTTTTACCTCAATATAATTTTTGCTTTCATTTTGTAATAAGAGTACACCCGAAAAAATAACGTGACGATTATGACCGGTTAATAGAACAGGCTAAATTATCAAAAATATATAGAAAAAAAAAGATTGTTTTTCAGAGTTTATTCATACTTGAATATTTTGTGAAAATTGAAGTCGATTTTGTAATTCAATAATATCATTATTATCTGAATTATTCATTGATGATGACGAAGATATACCATTGGCACTGTTCAATGACATTGTTGTTGTACAATGATGTTGACTTGTTGATGATTCAATAGATGAAACATGTAGTGAACATTGACGTAATTCTATAAGTCAACAAATTAAGATAAATTTTTTTCTACTGTTTTTTTTTACCTTTAAGAACGTGTAAAAGATAATTAGCATCATTTGCATTTTCACATGTACAACATAATGTATCCAATTGATTAACAAGATTATCAATATGAGTTAATGGTATTTGTAGGAACTGTTCAATTGTTAGATTTGAATTATTTCCATGAATAAATCTTTGAAAACTAGCACATTTTATTAATTGTTTTAATTGTAAACAAGCATCTGGACAACCCGATATATAATGATTAAATGCTTCACATATTAGTTGAACTTTTTCATGAAAAATTTTTCCAATATGACTTATTATTGTTCGTTCAGATAATGATTGTAAACGATTTAATTGATAACGTGATATTGCTAAAATCTAATAGAAAACAAAAAAAATTTTTACTTTTTGAAAAAAAAAAAAAAAATTTTTCTTTTGTACCTTTTCAATATTTTGAAATAATTTTGCGTGCTCATTTGATGATATTAAATAATGTTTTAATGGACGTGAATATAATTGAACACCAAGTTCAATTTGATTAATAAATTCTTTTTCAATTTCAATTAGATTTAAAACTTCACGTGCATAAGATTCCGAAAGAATTTTCTTTAAAATGAAAAATAAAAATAATTTTTTTTCTTGAAAAAAAAATGTCATAGAAACATACTAATCGATTATCTTGATCAGCATCAGAATATGAATTACTTTCAGAACCAACACCTGATTCACTTCCATCACTTCGTGTAGAAATTTTTCGATCAATTGGTGACATAAGTAAAGATTGTTGTTGATCAATATTCATTAGAATGGGTTTTGTAATAAGACATTCATATGTTTTTGTTTTAAATTGTTTATCGGATGATGAATATAAAGGTTCGGTTGATATTAAATTTCTATTTAATGGTTCATGTTGTTCAACAGAATTTAAAACAATTTTATCAATTTTGATTGATGTTGATGGATTTGAACGACGATATAATTGAAGAGTTATCGGTAATGATAAACTTCTATTAAAAATATAAATAATTTCATTTTTATTAAAATAAAATTATTTATTCAATTTAGTACTAACTTTATTAATTTTTTAACAGCTTTAGCTTGTGTTCGGGAAACATTAATATCATTAACTTGTAAAAGTATGTCACCAGGCATAGGCCGTGTAGATGTTGAACTAGTATTTGATTTAATTTCACTTATTTTACATGGAAATCCAGATGAAAAATGAATTTCATCACGATCATATATGTCAACCTGAAAATAATAAAAAAGTAAATTTTCAATAGTGCTTTCGAGTAGGATTAAGTAAATACAAATTGCTTAATCTTAAACAAGTCAATCCGAAATTGAATATTGAACCAGATACAAATAGATTTGTGCATTTCAACTGGCGCGTCAAAAATGCTGTTAGATCTCAATCTAATTCATCACGCGAAGTGTCTTATATACAGTGTAAGGCGAAGAATATCCTAGGACTGCGAAATAAGAACTTCTCAGCTGCCCAGTAGTTTCATGCTTGTTAAAAAAACATCATATTCACGACATTTTTGGCTCTCACATTGATATCTACCAACAAGGAATTTGTAAATATGAATATGTAGGTATGAAAAGTATTACAAAAAAGCATAAATTTGGCTTTTATGAATAACGAAACTATGAGGAAACTAATGATCGATTCTCGTCACTCCAAGGAATTCCTATTACTTAGTTCTTAGACATTGCGGAATAACTTACATTGAATACAAGTCCATTTGATTGATTATAGTTTTGTAATGAATATGGTTTTTTTAATGTTGTAATTTTTTTACTATGTAAAGATGAAGAAGTATTTACATTTAAAGCCATACATTTATGTCGTCCGATTGATTCCGGTAACAGACAATACCATTTATATTTTGATGAAGTCTTAAAAAAAAGGACAGTCAATCATTTTCGTTTACACCTTATATTATTTTAATAGAATATATCACATTGAAAAACAAAACAAAACTAAAGCTTCGTCTTTTCTTCACACTTAAATTTAATCGATTTTCTTACCTTTATACAACTAGTTGTTTTAAGAAGTGTCTTCATATTAAATGACATACAACCGATTAAATCACTTCTAAAATAAAAATATCAACAATATAACGAATGAATATATATAGTGTTTCTCTCTTTTTCTTTCTTGCTTATTCTCCCTTACCTCCTCCCCCCCCCCCCCCCCCCGCCCTCCCATCTCTTTTTTATTCTACCAAACCTCTCCTTG